AAAAAAAAAAAAAGAATGATTCATTTAAAGTATATGTAAGTATGTAGTGTTGTTACCTCCCATTGAGTTGACCTGCATCTCATGATGATCCCATACACAAGGGCACAAAACACTGTCCTGTTGTGATCCACAGGGTTTTCATAGATTGATCTTTTCTTCCTAGCCCATCTTATTCTGGAATCTTTGCTGAAACCTGTTCAGCATCTTAGCACTAGTCAAGCCTCCACTGACAGATGTGTGTTGTGCCTGAGGTGCACTGACTGGGAATCAAGCCCAGGTCTCCCACATGAAAGGAGAGAATCCTACCACTGTGCCACCAGTGTACCCCTATGTGGTGTATAACAGCTGCTCTAAAAATTCTTTGTCATTTTCATCATGATTATTAATATTATTAATTTGCAATCTGTTATGCCTAGGTAAATAGTAGTTTTATGTGTTGCCTTAGATTGGATTCCAAGTCATGGCACCATGTGCGCAGAATAGAACTACTCCATGGTTTTTCAGCCTTTCAGAAGCAGATCACCGTGCATGTCTTCTAAGGTGCCTCTGGGTGGGTTTGAGATGCCAGTCTTTCAGCTGGTGATTCAGCATTTAACCATTTGTGCCACCCAGGAACTCTTGAAAGTATTGGTAGAAATGATTCAGTAATTAATACTTCTTAACAAATTTTGTTTTTCATGCCCTTTTCTTCCCTCCTACCTGTTCCCTATGCAGAATGTGATAAACTGCGACAGGATGGCTACCGAAGTTCTCAGTACTACTCTCAGGGACCCACCTTTGCTGCCAGCTGCAGCCCACTCTGTGATGATTATCAAGATGAGGATGAGGAAGTGGATCAAAAGGTAAGCCTGCCAAATTCAACATGGTATCCTGCCTTGGAACACAGAACAAAGAAAGGATATAATAGGAAAAACTGGTAAAATTAGAATAAAGTCTATTTTTCATTAATAGTACTGTTGCAAGTTAATTTTGTAGTTTGGACAAATGTACCATGGTTATCTTAGATATTAACATTAGGGGAACATGGGTGAAAGGTACACAAGGAACTCTAAATGCTGTCTCTACTTTTCTATAAATCTAACATTATTCCCTCCTACCCCCTAACCTCCCCCCGCAAAAAAGTAAGCTAATGAACCGAGATACTCACTGTTGTGTTGTTAGGTGCTGTTGAGTCATCTCCAATTCATAGCGTCCCTGTGTACAACAGAACCAAACACTGCCTCGTCCTGTACCATCCTCACAATCCTTGCTATGCTTGAGCCTAGCAACATCACGATAAATGAAGAAAAGACTGAAGTTGTCACAGACTTCATTTTATTTGGATCCACAGTCAACACCCATGGAAGCAGGAGTCAAGCAGTTGCAGCCACTGTGTCAATCCATCTCGTGGAGGGTCTTCCCTTTTTTTGCTGACTGTCCATTTTATCAAGCATGGTATCCTTCTCCAAAGACTGGTCCCTTCTGACAACATGACCAAAGTAGTTGAGATGAAGTCTGGCCATTCTCACTTCTAAGCAGCATTCTAGCTATACTTCTTCAAGGACAGATTTATTCATTCTTCTGGCAGTCCATGGTGTTTTCGGTATTCTTCGCCAGCACAATTCAAAGGTATCAATTCTTCTTCAGTCTTCCTTATTCATTATCTAGCTTTCACATGTATATGAGGCTATTGAAAATAACGTAGCCTGAGTTAGGCTCACCTTAGTCTTCAGACTGACATCCTTACTCTTTAACACTTTGAAGAGGTCTTTTGCAGCAGATTTGCCCAGTGTAATACGGCATCTGATTTCTTGACTCCTGCTTCCATGGGTGTTGATTGTGGATCCAAGTAAAATGAAATCTGTGACAACTTCAATCTTTTCTCCATTTATTGTGATGTTGATTATTGGTTCAGTTATGAGGATTTTTGTTTTCTTTATGTTGAAGTGTAATCCATACTGAAGGCTGTAGTCTTTGATCTTCGTCAGTAAGGGCTTCAAGTCATTTTAACTTTCCACAAGCAAGGTTGTGTGTCATCTATATATCTCAGGTTGTTAAGGAGTCTTCCTCCAAACCTGATGCCACATTCTTCTTCATATAGTCCAGCTTCCAGATTATTTTCTCAGCATACAAATTGAGTATGGTGAAAGTTTACAACCCTCATGCATACCCATCCAATTTTAAATCATGCAATATCCACTTGTTCTGTTTGAATGACAGCCTCTTCATCTTTGTACATGTTTCTCGTGGAGCTATTCCGTGTTCTGGAATTCCCATTCTTAGTATTGTTATCTGTAATTTATTATGATCCATACATCTGAATATCTTTGCATAGTCAATAAAACACCACTCATCTGTCAGTTTCTTGTGCTGTGGTAGCTTGCATGTAGCTGAGAAGCTGGAAACTATGCCACTGGTATTTCAAATACCAGCAGGGTCACCCATGGTGGACAGGTTTCAGCAGAGCTTCCAGCCTGAGAAAAGCTTCCAGCTGAAAAAATTGGGCTCTGAAAACCTTATGAATAGCAGTGAAATATCTACTATTTTATTGGAAAGGAACTCATTAAGGGGACAAAATGCAGTATATCTGTGCATATTCATTTTCTTTGGGTAGAACAATAAAATTCTTATTTCTGCTGTTGTTTTAATTTTCATATGACCAAGAGAATCTAGTTAGGTTACAAAAAAAGAGCTCTAAATATAACATCAAAAGCAACTCTTTCACAACTGGGCAGTGTTTTTAATGTAGCTTAACATAAGCAGTACCTTTACTTAATTAACATAAAAAATTGCTTTCAAGTCATTCTGGCTCACGGTGCACAAACCCAGGTGTCAAACAGTAGAACTGTGCTCCACAGAAATTTCAGTGCCTGGTTTTTCAGACATAGCTCAGCAGACCTTTCTTCTGAGGAGTCTCTGGATGGACTTGAACCACCAGTCTTACAGTTAGCAGCAGGGCCTATTAACCAAGGACTCCAGTTAACATTGTAATCCATTGCTGTTAAGTCATTCCAACTCACAGTGACCCTATATGACAGAGTAGAACTGCCCCATAGGGTTTCTAAGGCTGTAAATCTTTAGGGACCTTTTGGTTAGCTGCCCAGCACTTTAACCAGTGCTTCATCAGGGATTCCTAAGGAACATTATAGCCCAGCTCACACATTGCCATTGAGTCTGGACACATAGCAACCCAATAGGACAGAGTAGAACTGCCCCATAGGGTTCCCAAAGCTTTAATCTTTACAGAAGCAGACTGCCACATCTTTTTCCTGCCGAGCAGCCTGTGAGTTCAAACCCACAGCTGAGTGCTTAACCACCATACCACCAAGGCTCCTCATTAACATGATGGTATCATTTTTGAGATGCTATTTTACATTTGGGTTCCTTTTTCTCATACCATCTCATGATAAACTAATTAAGAGAAGTATGCTTTCTCAATACTAAATGCACATGACAGAATAAAATTAATGGGGATCTAGACTTAAGTTTTATTTTCATTTTACTATGTAATATAGACAGACATTGGAATTACTTAAACAAATTAAGATTTCATTAAGCACGGCCTTGTTCAGGAACCATTTTTAATTAATCTAAGACCTTTCAGTGGATTTACGTCAATACATAAATGTCTTTTGGCTAGAGAATATTACTCACATTTATTGTTCTTTTGACATAGATAAAGTCAGAGAAAAGAGTTGATCAAAAATGGGAACTCATATTTTGGTCTTCCAATGAAGACTGGACCCCAGTTTTTATCACAGAGTGTTTTCCTATTTCTTTCAGTATATTTTTCAAGTATTCAGTCTAAATATATAAAGAAGAGACTCTAAACATACAAAGAAGGTCTTATACTATAATATGAAAAGCAACTGTTTCATAATTGGTCTCGTCTTTAATTGTGAAAACTGATTTCTTTTTCTCCTGTTGACATGAGTAAGGAAAACAAAAATCAGTAAGTAAATTATATAGTGAGATTTCTTCACAATCCAGATTTACCTTAGCCTTGCATTAGTGCTCAGAGGAGGAAAACTCAGTGTATAGTGGGGCTCAGCCAAACTGAGATGTTTCTAGGTGTGTAGCATGATTGCACAAGTGGTGACTGTCCAAGAGATGGGGAGTTCCCAGTGGCAATTCTGCATGGTCAAAGCAACATCCTAAGATGTTCTGAAAAAATGGGAACCATTTCTAAATTCTCATATAGCCGTTTACTTACTATAACACTCAAATCTGTGGGACATAAAGGCTCTGTGAACTCGTTTCTACTCTTGTATGCCATTGCCACTGATCTCTGCCTCCAGGCAGTTCTGTCCCAAGTGTGTATTGGAGAATGCAGACTGCTCATTACCCCTGAGGAAAAAAAGACTCTTATGTTGACAGTCAGTAGATCATTGTCATATGTAGGTCATCAAGAGTTGGAATCAACTCGATGGTAACTGGGTTAAAGAAATATGTATCTAAATATTATCCTATACATTGTATTGTATTGTGTTGTAGTAGATGACATGACATATCCTAGCACATAAATATTTGCACCTTAAATGCCTTAGTATGACAGATGATTGGTGGACCTTAGACAGATTTCCTTTTGGAGCCCATATCCTCCTGTAAAATGGAGGATTGGAGCAGTGGAAGAGCCTTGCCTGGTATGTGTGCTGGAAGGGGAGCTGTCTTCCCTCAGGGCCTGCCTGATTGACAGGGTCTATCACAGTGTCCAGACACCTGGCCCTCCTCATATTTGGACCCTCACAAAAGCACATAGCCACCTTTAAACCTTAACTTCTTTCACTTCTATGTGATTTTTGTTACTGTTTTTTTTTTTTTTTCCAGTTTGATGATTTTTAAAATTCAGCTTAATGATAGTTTCATACTTGTTCTAAGCTGGAAATATTTTGCAATCACTGAAATATATTATTAGTGATATTTAAGGGCAATTGTTTTCTTTCTTAATATATAGAACCAAGTTGAATTATATTTGAATTTTTTGAAAATAAGTAGATCTGCATGTCTTCTCAAGGCCATTTCTGTTAAGTTTGTTTCTGAATTAAATATATATATTAGATTATCTTCTTGGTTTATCAAATATGTATCTGTATTTTATATATTAATATGTATTCATTAAGGAGCCCTTGTGGGGCACTGGGTTAAGTGCTAGGCTGCTACCCAAAAGGCCGACGGTTGGAACTCACCAGCTGCTCCGTGGGAAAAATGACCTGGGAATCTGCTCCTGTAAAGATTGTTGTTGTTGTTGTTGTTATGTGCCATCGAGTTGGCCCCGACTCATAGCGACCCCTCCTTGGGTTTCCGAGGCAGTATCACTACGGAAGTAGGATTGCCCCTGTAAAGATTGCAGCCCAGGAAAACCTATGGGGCAATGCTGCTCTGTCTTACAGGGTCACCATGAGTCAGAATTGACTCAGTGATACAACAGCGATAACGTATATTCATTAAATATTATCTAACAAATTATACCATCATATTGACTCAGGACTTAATTACCTTGAATAATACTAAGAAGTTTTAGAAGGTATTTTGAACATCTGAATTTTAATTGCCAAGTTTCTAAAGTAAAGTTAATAATCATTCCTAGAAGTAAAAATAACATATTTAAGATTTCTGAATACTGAAACATGAATTAAAATAATTTACTAAGAAAGACTTATTCTTCATAATGGATTTTTATTAGGATGTAGCTTAAATAAGATGAATAGACAGGCAAATGGATGTTACAGCTTTGAGTAATGACAAGTAGCTTTACACTATTAGCTTTCTCATTTCTGTCTGAAAACTTAGTTCTGTTTTATTAATTAGTAAAATTACTAATCCTAAGTCTCTAAGCCAATGACTTTTTTCAATGGCTTTAATG